GAATATAAGTTATCCAATATTAAAAATTGAAATTGACATTTGTCTTGTAGCTGTGTCTCTCGTGATCAAGGCTTCAGCAATTTGTCCAGCCTATTGTGTTGCCAAGCTGACGTGAGAGGGAGCAGGATTACCTGTACTTGCTTTGGGTTGGGGGAGACACCTCGTAAGTACATTTTTCATATGCTCAGAAATTGTCAGTTCAAAGAGGAAAGAATTATTAGGTAATTTGTTGATACGATAGTCGTTTTTTGTGGCTTACATTCAGACAGCAACTGATGATTGATGCTAAGTCCATCGAAGCATGCTTTTGCATTAATAATATTGTTGGCACTGACAACGTCTTTAATTATTTTATGAAAATGCATAGATATCACAGAGCATACACCTATCAAATAAAGTGTAGTTTTACTTTTTCAGAACACGTGTCGTCTATTTCTAACACTTCAGAAACTAAGCTGAGCCTGGCTGCCAACGAGAATGCCAGGTTAATGGTCTGGCCTACACAAGTATCATTCAAATCGTGTTGCGCCGCGCGGGTGTATCGAGCTACGGAGTTTGCAATGTAATATAATAATTCGCGTTATACTTTGAAATAAGTTATTTCATATTTAGAAACAAATAAACATTTTAAAATGAGTATGTATTTATCCTTTCTTTTTCAAGTTGGTGAAAAGAATATTGATTCTGGTAGAGTAATAAGACGTATCAGATATAAATTTTTCGCACTTATTTTACGTGTTATATAGTTTCTTAGTATTGAAGTTTTCCTGATTACAGTAATTAAACATGCTTTTCTGCGCTCCTCAGGGCGATTCTGGTAGTCTTTGCTTAAGCCGGTTCTAACGTATGTTGGAATCGTGTGTGGGGAATTGCCTTTGCGCGTTGGGAGGCCTGATGTGTACCGCGGTATGCCCAGTTTGTGGGAACTGGGATCTCGCAGGCACTGTGCAAGTAAATTTGAATTGTAATCTCAAAATCGCAAGGCGTCCCAGAAAAAGGAAATAAAATACTAAATTTAATTCAACCACTTTGATTCAGAGAGGGATAACAACTTCATACGACTTTCTTTCTTAAACTTTTAAATAACGATGTTAATGAAATAAATGCAATGAGATGTTGTATGTGGTAGACGTTGAATTATTTAATAGCCCATTCTTGAACACAATAGGCCAAGAAATAGCTAAATTCCATGAAGGTGAGAATTATGTTACAATTTCTTGCAAACTACGTACTTAGTATTGGCGAGAAAGTATGTAATTTCGTGTAAATCGGGCAAATCGGGGCAGTGCGTCTCATTGACAGAGCGTGATTCCCTGGGGCAGCGGGCGGTTGGGGCGGTGGGGCGGTGGGCAGTGGAAACGGGCGGACGATGGCGAGGAAGCGCGTGCTATGATACGAAATCGGACTCCACGCCTGGCCGCCGGCAACGGGCGCATCGGTCATCGAGTCGCTGCTGCCATCAGGACGTCCGTCCTCAGGTACGTCTTCACATTGCTCTTGGTTCGTGTATGTGTAGCGTTTTGTTCAATGTATGTATTGAATACAGG